AGAAGTTCGTTGCAAACCTTTTGTGAAAGTGGTGTTTAATGCGTTCTTTGAATAGAACTCCAGTTCCGCCGTGGACTTTCCCATCTGGATGCGGTAGATTGTGCGGTAGATTGTATAGCCTCTTATTTGAAAGTTGTATTTGCTTGTAAGATGCGTATCCACCCGTAGCATAATGTCAATATGGTTTTCGGTTAAGAATTGTGACAATTCTAATTTATGCCGTGAGACACCATTGGCGTTCCACATTGATATTCGTGGAGCCTACATAGATTATTTAGATTGTTGTGCTTCGAGCAGCTGTAACACCATGTTTTGGTTTTGAACAAGTGTTTGCATGGTCGTTTTCATGAATGACATAAGATCCATCTAACTTTTTTGGAGGGTAAGCATCATAGTTTCCGTTGGGCTGTGTGACTGTTCTGGGGCCTGTTGAGCGCTTTGTGAGTTGGGCTGAATTGGAATTTCCCTTCCAGATCGTAGAGCATGGTGTTTAGTGGGCCTCGCAGCTTTGGCGAAGTTTTTGACGCAATGTACACATTCTGTGGATTTTGGTTGCGCGTTGCGCTCGCTTGACGCATGCGACTCTTTAACTCCTTGTACACCATATACCATATCCACTATAGTTTTCCGTATGGTTGCCTCCGCAGTTTCCACATTTCTTCACGATACTGTCCTTGTTTGTAGTGCAGTGAGTGTAGTTGTGGGCGTCCCTGCAGACTACAAAGACAGCCCGAAGTGTGCAGTATGACCTGGTGTGTCCATATTCTTGGTGTGTCCAATTAGTGCATTGCACTGGACCGTTGCGTTTATGTGGCTCTTCAATAGTGATTCTCTGATGAAAAAGATATTGCAGATTGTAGGGTGGGTGGACTTCGTTTTTCTTCAGCGACCTGCTTTCTGGCTCGAGCTCGACCTTGAAGAGGGGTTGTGGCTTTTTATTTTTATTTAGAATGTTAAAAACATTCTTGGCGGCAAAGCCCTTTCTTTAAGGGTTCGATTCTCTTTACTACCACTTGTAGGCCCTTACTGCTTTTCAACTGGGACGTGTAATAGTGTTTCCGAGCACTGTCCAGATATTTGGTTTGCACCTTTGTTTCATGGATGTTCCCTTTGATAAGCGGGACAACATATAAGTTGTCACCGTTCCCGATCAACGCCGCAATTCGGTTGACCAGGGCACTCGAGCTTTTCTCCCTTATATAGATTGGAGGGGGCTTGGGTTTTTTTACGGTGTCTTGGGCTGGTTGGTTTTCCTTAACCTCCGCCAGTAGGGCAAATCTGTTACTAGTGGATCTGTCTGGATCTTCGTCGATATTCAAGACACGTTTCCTGCCGGATTACTCTGCGGGCTAAGCTTGAGCTTAATTTGGATGTAGAGATCCATTCCAGTCTGTGTGGCCGGAGCCGCTTAGGCACTTTTCGAAGTTGTTGTTTTTGTATTCGCTGTAGTCGTGTTGACGTCGCGGTACTTTGAATTGCAGTGGTTGTCGCTGTGATTGCAGAAATTGTAGCACTGCTAGTTGTTGGTGCGAAATTCGTTTTCTATATTGGAGGGGGGGTTTCAGCGGTGAGTACAGTCGGGTTGCTCTTAATCGCCGATTTTTCCACTTCGGTATCGCGGGTTGAAAAGTAAGAATAGAAGCCGTTTCTTTGGTTCACTGAACTTCTACGCTCGTTCTTTTGATCGTTGCTCAATGAGCTTATTGCGTGGCGCTTATTTATTTAAAACAATTGGTTTAACACATCAAAACTGTTATAAAAAGCTTGTCTATTGCTCTTAATAATTTTTGGTTTAGCGTCTTTTCGCTTATATTGGGTTACCCCAATTTTTCTTTTGTGTTGCAGAAAGAAACGTCCAGAATTGTGGAAAACGAATTCATGACTTTTGCATCAAGATAATGCACCTGCTCACTCAACTTTGCTTGTGAGAAATTTTTGGCCAAAAAAACACCACAATATTGCCTCAGCCACCATATTCATCGGATTAGGCCCTTTTTCTTGTTCCCAAAACTAAAGAGACCTTTGACAGGACGGAGATTTGCAACGATGGAAGAGATAAAGACTGCATCGCTGGATAAGCTCAAGGCTATAGGGGGCCTCATTAATATTGATAAATAAATTAATAGTGATCCTTGAATATACGAAGTCACCTTACTTTTTGAACACACCTCAAAATTGGTGGTATTAAGTTATATAAAAGCAGTTTCGAATTTTCAAACAATTTTCTTGTAACACTCATATTTCAATAAACAGTAAAAAGCTTGTGATGCATTGCAAACATATAAAAGAAAAAAAAAAATAAAATAAAATAAAAAACGAAGTAAATCGTATATGGTTTTTAAGTTTTTTAAACTGTATATTCCATTTTACTATAAAAAAAAAAGAAGACAAAGCTAACTTCGGGCGGATCCGAAGTTGATATACCCTTGCAGTTAAAACCGGACATATATCGCAAACATCGGATATAGTTGGCCTATGACTTATGATTACATCATAATATAACCAATTAATTACAATACAAAAATCTAAAAAAAAAAAAAAAAAAAAGTCCCAAGCTTCTATCTTCAAAAATACGAAAGTTGATATTTCTACCAAATACCTTTTCCGATCGTTCAGTTATATGGCAGCTATAGGATATAATCGGCCGATCCTAATGAAATTTCGTAGGTTGGATAAACTGACCTTGGATCTGTACTAAGTTCCAGCTTTCTATCTTCAAAAACACGAAAGTTGGGTCATTTCCGATCGTTCAGTTATATGGCAGCTACACGATATAGTCGGCCGATACTTATGAAATTTGGCATGTCGGATTATTTTGCCAAAATAAGCTCTCATGTCAAATTTTAAAACACTAAAGTGTTAGTAAACACTAACACTAAAACTTTAAAAACACTAAAGTTATACCATTTCCGATCAATCAGTTATATGGCAGCTATAGGATATAGTCGGCCGATCCCGGCCGTTCCGACTTATATACTGCGTGCAAAGGAAAGAAGGGTGTGTGCAAAGTTTCAAGACGATAGCTTTAAAACTCAGAGACTAGTTTGCGTAGAAACAGACAGACGGGCAGACGGACATGCTCATATCAACTCAGGAGGTGATCCTGATCAAGAATATATATACTTTATAGGGTCGGAGATGTCTCCTTCACTGCGTTGCACACTTTTGGACAACATTATAATACCCTCTGCAAGGGTATAAATATCTGGTAAAAGCACGAAAAATTAACAAAACCCGTTTAATTTTTTTGATGCTGTGGCTTTGTTATTTTTATGAACACAGCTGCACATACATATGTATATACATACATAAAAAAATGAGAAATTCCACTCATTACCACGTTTCTTATTAAAGAGAACACTATGAAAACTTGTTTTTCGAATATTTTTTGTTTTTATCGAATATATACCGCTACTGTGGATATACTTTGAAATTCTCAAATCATTTACATAATATGAATCTATATATATAAAAGTCTCTTCTCACAGTTTTTGTTACTATTCTCCTCCGAATCGGCTATACCGATTCTCATGATATTTTGTGAGCGTATAGAATAGGTCAGAAAATCCACCAACGTCTATTTTTCATCCTCTTAAATCCTGTTAGACATATCAAAAATTGCATATAAAGTGAGTTACTACCTCATCACACTGACAAACTCATGCTACCATAGCATTCTTAAACTGGGGCAAAAATCTTTCATCATTTAGTAAATACATTAATTATATTTATGAGTATTTTGTACAGTGAGCAATGCCAAGAAACCGCAAAGGGGGTGATTTGAGCCGCGATACAAGTAGATCTCGAAACATGCGAAATAGAAGATCCGACAGAACCGAAGAACAAATCCAGCAACAAAATACTGATGTATGTGTTAGAATAGCGCAGTTCCACCAAGAAGAGCCAGAAGATACACGAGCTGAACGCAATAAACTCAGATGATTAGATAGACGCAGATAGATGATTAGATAGACGCAGATAGATGTACAATAGACGCAGAACAAGTGACCAACAACGACAATAGGTACATCGAGCATTTATATCCGATCCATTCCTGCGTCTAGTATTCCAGTATGAGCCTGATATTGAGTATTATGCTCACTCAAAAGTGGTAATTGGTGCTATGGACAAGGAATGTCCGCATTGTCATACTCTGAAATTAGAAAATGAGCCAGCGGGGATGTGTTGCGCGTCAGGAAAAGCGACGACAGCGAAGCAGTACATTTTCCCACAGAGTTTTTAAACTCATTGGATTCGCAAGGCATTCCAACGCATTATGTACAATTAAAGGTTGGATCTCCAATTATCATACTTCGTAATTTGAACCCGCCCCAACTGTGCAATAGTACGCGATTAGACATTCAATAATTAATGAAAAACGAGATCGAAGCCAGCATTTTAAATGAAAAGTTCAGAGGTGAAAATATACTAATACCACGGATTCCTATTATACTTACAGATGCGCCAATTCAATTCAAACGTATTCATTCAAACGTAATAAACGATGTTTATTTGTGGCTTAGATTTAAGAACACCGTGTTTTTCACACGGAAAATTATACGTGGCATGCTCTCGAGTGGGTAAACCATTCAGTTTGTTTGTTTTAGCTAAAGATGGACTAACAAAAAATACTGTTCACGCTATAGCACTAAGAGATTGACTTGCTGAATTACGATCAAATAATAACTTAAAAATAATGTTTCCCTTTTGTTATTTTTATATTCCCGCATGGTTCACAGCCTTCCAGATGACTTTATAATACATAAGTCTAGAACTGAGTACATTTTGTACAAAAATTTTAGAGTCATTTAGTGGCAAAACAACGTTTGCCGGGTCAGCTAGTATAAAATAAATATAAAGACCAAGTTGTGTTATTTTTTAAAAGTTTAGGTACAAGGAACCAAAATGCCGATCCAGACCGTCCTGGATGGACAGTCAAGGAACTCAGAGTGTGAATTTGTAGGCATTTGAACTGTACCCATCAAAAAAGGAAATCTTACCTGAAAAATGCGTACTATATACGCCAAAAATGATAATGTTTTTATTTGTGCCCCCATAAAATCAACGAAAATTTCCTTTTGTGTTAGGTTTCTGAAATTAAAGGTTAAGTAAATATGTAAGTTTAGGCAAATGAATAAAGTTTTCTGTAATGATTATAATATACACGGAAATTATTTATTTATTTATAAATTTACGAATGCAAATTTAGAATCTTACGGGGCTATAATATAACAACATTACTCACTAAAAACATACGAACAAAACAGAAACAGAAGTAACGTTTTTTTGTACCTTATTTTCTATTTTATGTATAATGATATAAACCTTAATATTTTTTTATTTTTATATAATTTTAATATTTTTTTAAAATGAAAGAATGGATTTTTTTTTTTTTTTTTAATATATTTTAAAATAATAGAAAGATGAATATAAAAACATATTTTAACAGTATATTGAAAATATATATTAAACAAATGTGAAAAAGAAAAGATAACATAAAATATCTCGGAAATTTTTAGAAAGCGAAAGCATTCTAAATGTTTTAGCAGTGCTCTGAAGTGGTGCCCAAAAACATTCTCACATGTGGTTAGAAATTTCCCGGCCCGGCCTCTCTACTTGTACAAATACACCAACACTGTAAAACAACTCAAAAAAAAAAAAATTTGAAAAAAAAAAAATGCAACTCTAACATATGAAAGTATTTGTGCGGGGTCCACTGCACTATAGAGCATTTGAGCATGTGTGAACCGTCTTGCACTCAGCCACTCAGCCAGTCTTGCACTTTGGCCTTGGGTGGCAATATTCCTGATGTGCAAATAATGGAAGTTAAATTTCATTAGTTGTTCAAATAGTGGGTGTCTAAAATTTTTTCATTTTATAAAAGCTTTTTTAGCGCGTTTTTTATTATACCCTTGTAGAGGGTATTATAATTTTGTCCAAAAGTGTGCAACGCAGTGAAGGAGACATCTCCGACCCTATAAAGTATATATATTCTTGATCAGGATCAACTCCTGAGTTGATATGAGCATGACCGTGTGATACAAAATTTAAAACAAGTCCCAAACTTCTATCTTTAACAATACCAAAGTTGGTATTTCTACCAAAAACCATTTCCGATCATTTAGTTATATGTCAGCTATAAGATGTAGTCGGCCGATCGTTATGAAATTTGGTAGGTCGGATTATCTACCAAAAATAGAATCTGTATGAAGTTCCAGATTTCTATCTTCAAAAAAACGAAAGTTGGGTCATTTCCGATCGTTCAGTTATATGGCAGCTATAGGATTTAGTCGGCCGATCCTTTGAAATTCGACGTGTTATATTATTTTGCAAAAAATAGCTCTCACATAAAATTTGAACTCTCTAACTTTAAAAAAACCAAAGTTATACCATTTCCGATCAATCAGTTATATGGCAGCTATAAGATATAGTCGACCGATTCGGGCCATTCCGACTTATATACTGCGTGCAAAGGAAAGAAGGGTGTGTGCAAAGTTTCAAGACGATAGCTTTAAAACTGAGCGACGAGGTTGCTTAGAAACAGACAGATGGAAAGACGGATGCTCATATTAACTCAGGAGGTGATCCTGATGAAGAATATCTATACTTTATAGGGTCGGAGATGTCTCCTTCACTGCGTTGCACACTTTTGACCAAAATTATAATATCCTCTGCAAGGGTATAGAAAAAGATCTCTATGAAAATATTTGAGGCGAACAATAAAAATATTTACGTATTTTATACGCAATGCGGGGGAAATATTCCTCCGCTTCAACAAACCCTCTTTGGTTTACAATGTGACTTATAAAAAACGAAATACGATACGAACTTTTAAAATACTAAAAACAGGATTTTATCTATGTAAATATGAATAAGTTGCAGTATCTGGGACTTTTCAAGATATCTGCGAGCTTTTACCGTGCAAATACCGTCAAAATTTACCGTGCATAACGCTGAATGATATAGAAATTATATTCGCCCCTGCCGGATTCACTTTTCTCAGGATCCGAAGCAGTTTTATAACTTTGTAAACACCGAGCATAAACATTCTAAATATAGAGTTTCAAGGGATCGAACCCGTGGAAATAAAAGATAAACAGCATGGTCTAAAATCGATCCCCTGCAGCCTAAAATAAGTGGTACACAAATACATAAGTGGTGCGCTTAGCGCACTTAAGAAAAGGTCACATAGTAGGTCAGCGTGCAGTGCGTTGATTAGTAGTTTTAAATAGAATTTCAAACCATTGCCAGGCCAGACCTTTACCTTTGCCGATCTATTTGCAAAATTTTTTCTTTCTTACTTACCCCCTTAAACGACAGATCAGTCGTACGCATATAACATTCAATAAGCAAATCTCATTTTCTGTCTATCTTTCTCTGAGTATAGCTTATTATCGACAGTTGAACGATAGTTGCGGTGGTTGCGAAACGATATGCGTTGAATTCTTGGTAAAATGGTCACGAAGAACGAGTGCGACGGGGCATTATCGTGATGTATAAGCCAAGAGTTGTTGGCCTACATTTCTGGTCTAATTCGACGAATCGCTTCAGGCAAACGCCGCATATCGCTCAAATAATATTCCTTATTAACAGTTTGGCTAAATGAAAGGAATTCATAGTGCACCACACCAAGAAAATCGAAAAAAATGGCCATCATAAAGTTTATTTTTGAACGAAGTCATCAACACGTTCCCGACCCTATTTAAAGTGTTTGTACCACTTAAAAACCTTTTTCTGTTCCGCCAAAGGCGTTCCACAACATCCTCAACGTTTCCGCAGCAGAAATTTCTTTCCGCAAAGAAAATTTGATGGCACTTCTTTCCTCAATTAAATTAGACATTGTTAAAATCGAGCAATGCACTTATGATCGTTTGGTAAACAAGCTTAAATATAGTACTGACATTGACATGAAAGAACCGCCAGATGTCATCAACATTCCTACCAACTAAAAAAAAAAAATCTAATCCGCCATCTTAAGCCCGCGAATTTTAAATTGAAAATTCACCTTTCTTTTTGCTCACAGTAGTAGATGGCTTTCGAAAGGAATTTTAAACTGATGCTATTTACGCAGACTATCATAAATATCAGATCAATGAAAATTATGAAATAGTCCCGATCAATCAGTTAGAATAGGATAAAATGACTAATAATAGTATGCATGAAAGTGCAAACCTTTTAAAGTATTATACGTAGGGATTTTGGAATCATGTAAACTTGTTTTTACATTTATTTTAAACTACATAAACTCAATCAACTACTGCTAATGTCAGAGTTCGCAAAGGGAGTCGGATAACTTTAAACCAGTTTTTCTCACAACAGTGTTTTTAAATTCAGTTGTCTCAATTTATTAAAAAACTAGCAGTACCCTGCCACGTTTCTCTGTGGCATATTGTGGTTGCACGCATAAGAAATAAGTCAAACAAAAAAGAATAATTTTCGTGGACTACCTATGTATGAGGATGGAAAAATCGTGAGCTTTCCAACGTTGGTTGTATTACGGTCATTCATCACAGCATCCCGCAAATGGATATACTCCTCGGAGCGAAGTTTCGTCTGATTCAATCGGAGGAACAGCAAACGTTCTGTTTCAATTTTTGCATACATATCGACAATGTACTGATGAACCAACTGACGACATTTCAATATATGATTGTCATCGGTCCTCCGAACCATTAATCGGTATGAGTAAAAGTTCATCGCGCTGCACTTTTTATTCGTTTCTACACCATTTCCTGGATCTACTATCCTCACATTGAAATGATATCCATCGGCACCATCCCAGAAGATGAGTGGATTCTGCAAAGCATCGTAACAACGGTGAGTTTCTGCGACGTTTACCAATCGATCGTTTCGTCGATGGAGAACAATATCTCGAGGTTTGAACTGATCCCCGATTATGACAATTGCCACTTCGTCTATAGTTGGAGCATTGTATCTCCTGATATGTTCTCCAGCAGGCGTTTTGTCTGCATGAATGACAATTTTATGGGTATACGAAGGCATCATATAGATTGCTGTTTTGAACAAACGCACCAAATGGTTCCGTTCGTTAAAAAGCTTCTGTAGCTGTGAAATAATGGGCTTCTTCAGCGAGGTATTGATTCCACAACGTGCATCGACTTCAGCTCCATCATCACCAATGAAGTACCTTTGAAGAAATTTGTTTTCGCTGTCTGAGAACGGAAGCAGGGAACCGGCTTTGTGATAGATTTGTCCTTTGATTTTAAAAGTTGGCATGAATTGCGCAGTTATAATTTCCGCACCAAATGACGTCATTTGGAAGCAAGAGTTGTATTTCCTAATGTATGACAGGAAATGCTTCGATTCAGCAGTAGATCCAGCTAATAGAGAGTGCAGAGGCTCTGGTGGTGCTTCAAGTTGAGGCAATTTTACTTTCCCGGAAGCGCAACACAATCCTTTTGGTTCGTTGTTGAATTTGAGAGCCTGACAGTGTGTGCAGACCTGATTCATCCGGCCAATAACGACATTGCGATTCGAGCTGTAATCAACAGTTGGATTATATCGGAATGCAAGACGATTGTATTGCAGGTTTCGATCTGTTGCAAGCTGTAAACGCGCTTCAGCTACCCTTGCTTTGCTTTTGTATTGCGAGTAAGACGACCAAAATTCGACTTCTTGGGTGGCATGACTTCGTTTCTAATGACTTCGTTTCTGACATTTTGACATTTTCATTTGACATTTTCTTCTTAGCTGTCTGCCTAAATAGAAAAGTAGGGGCACGGGGAAACGCGAAAAACTGATATATTCGCAAACGCAGATAAGCTATCAACATCAAAAGTAGACATAAACCGAGCTGGAACCTCAACGCATGTTGGGTAAAAATTTGGGCTTAAACGGTTCAGAACTTTTCAAGTCTATAAATGACGTAGATACGAACAGAGCATTTTTATATATATAGATGAAATAAACTGATCGGCCTGGAGTGTGTTCACAATCTTTTTGGATATATTCCTTAGGTAATTTACAAAGGAATTATTTTTATTTTTTAATGTATTAATATTTTTTCTTGACAATTCAATGTAATTATTTCAAAAGTTAGGCCATGTTATCACAAAAACCTTTTTAAGCCCCATCGTTTATTACGTGCATTTTTGTATTTTTTAACAGAATCAATCAAATTTTCATTTTAGATATCCAAGCCCGCCTTAAAAAAACCTTTTACATAAAAAAAATAATTATTGTGCCCTGAAACAGTTAAGTTATGGGTTCGGAGAAGTGCTGCCAACTTTTCGGGACAATTAAATGCTAAGCTAACTTTCCAAACCTGCTAGAAAAGGCTAGATCGAATTTAAAGAAAACCAGAAAAAGCCATTTTAGTTTTGATGTAGTTTTAACGAATATTTTTGAATATATTGGTAACTGAACATTTATAGACAATTATCGAGCACAATGAAATTTATATTTCCCTCAGTAGTGTTGGAGTCGTTTGTACTAATCATGTCGTGCAATAAGTACCAAAAAAAAACTAAGAATAAAAATAAAGTATTTAATTAATAAAATTTATTTTTTAGGGTCCATTATTTTTGTGTTTGTTTTTGCAATTACAGATTGCTTGCTACAGAAGCTATCAAGGATTCGATTTCAGATGAATCCCAATAGCTGAGAACCAATAGCTCAGTAGAAAGAGCTTCCTTGGATGGTAGATCTGCTGGTTTGAATGCAGTAGGCACATAACACCATTTCCTTGGTGAGCTGAGGATAGGGCAAGCGAGGAGTCACTAACAAAAAAAATCTCCGTTATTGGTGTCGCAGTGTCCAGCTTGAAAACATTCACATCATAGCAGATAGAATCTCGCCATAGGATGCACTGCAGCAAGCTATCATCTGGAGCGACTCTTACACAGCGGTGCATCTTGCAAATTTCTTCTGTTAAAGCGACTAGGTGAGACTTAATCGTATCAAGGTATGGAAGAGCTTAGGCTGAAGAGTTAGCAGCAGAATCGTTGAACACAACAAAACCACATTGGGAGGAATCTTTCACTTGAAGGCATATATGTTCAGACGAGGTTGACGCTCTGCGATGTGAGACATGGATAGGCGGGTTTCAGGAAAAAATTATTCGATGCTCCATCTACAGTAAACTCAGCGTCCCCAAGGCCAGTCACCGTGACAGAGCATTTATACCGACGAAGCTGAAGTTGGCTGGCCAGCTTTGATGTGATGAATTTGTGAGCCGGAATCAAGTAGCGCCCGGCAGGAAAGGAAGGCTCCGGATCGGATGAGAACACTTGCACGGTTGGCAAGAACACTACCACAGCGTGGCGACCCTGGGTCACAAACGCGTTAGCTGGTGGTGCAGGATCCAAGCCGGAAGCGGGTACGGAGGCAGTGCTGGGTAATTGCTCGCAAGGATGCCAACAGGGAATAATGTCGGCGGTTACACGCTGGGCACCGGAAGGATGAGCATCCGGGGGCTAAGTGCTCAGACTTGAGGCAAACGAAGCAGAGGGCAAGACGCCGGACTTCATCGTATCGTTCCTCAACTGGCAACGCGAGGAACCTTGGGCTAGAAGGCACAACATGTGCCAGGACACCGCACGTGGCACACGGAGCCAACGGAGTATTAATGAGCATGCATGAACGATTATTAAATGGCCTACTTCGGCTCACCTAATTTGCTGGCAGATGCGGAGCTAAGGTCAAAATAAGTCTCAAGGGTGCGGCCCCTTTGTTCCAAGAACCGAGTCATAGATTAACAAGTTGTCAGCAGGCTGTCAGCATTGCTTCCTGCGAGAGAGTCTTCACACTTAGCCGTCGTCCGTCGTCCTGGAATTTATGAAGACCCGCATATGACCATCGGATCGGTCGGACAACTTTCAATATGTTGCAACGGATTCCGGCTCGACTACCCTTAGCTGGAGGATCTCGTTGATGCGAGCCTGGAATATTAACCGTCGATTACTAAAAATACTGTGCAAAAGATCAAGGGCAACATCATAGTTAGCGTCAGTAATCTCCAGCGCTCTTACAGTCTCCACCTTGGTCAAGTGAGGATGACTGTCAATCGTTGTCCTAAAAACTGCGCAGAAATCCGGGCACTAGGCATAGCCACCGCTGAATGATGGCATCGGCAACGGGGGCAATGAGAGAGCAGACCTGTATTAAGTAGGTGAAATACCAGCACCACTCATACCATACCAATTGTCTGTATTGTCTCATTAATTGTGAATAAAACGAGGCCCATTTCGTTACAAAATTATGAAAATTGTTAAACTTATAACGCTTTTCCCAAAAAAAGTCAGTGCAATTTTACTAGCGCTCCGGAGTAACAGTGTGTAAACGAAACGAATAAGCGCAATGGAAGGGCACACTATTGTTCCGGAACGCAACTTTGTAAAATGTCAAATATTAAAGAATGCGTGCAAAAGTACACATTCATGGATGATGTATTCGGAAGAGATCTAAAAACCCTACAACATGAACCAAATCTTATGGATAGATTTCTAAGATATTTCTAAGATATTCTTTTTCTTTCTTAAAAAGTCTTAGAATTAGATATATATATTTCTACTTACTATATAGCACCCTTTTTGGACTCTAATCCATAAAATTGATTTTGCACGGTGAAATTTTTTTAATACAATTTAAAAGACTTAAATCTGCTTTGCCTTACAGTGTGTCAAAATGATGTACTTTACAGGTTTGTATCTCAACAGTGCACAGTGAGAGAAACGACTGATTTAGATCCGATTTATTAATATCTTCAAGGATGATTTGTACGTATTTGTACGTTTTGGTAGAGATTCGAACCACAAATAAAAATTAATGTACAAAAAATGTTTGTATATTGCAGTTATTGTAGCGATATTGTTATTCTCTGCAGCTGGAAATTTTTTGGCACTATGCAAGTCTATATATGCCTTCTTTTGTGTAACCCCAATCAATATATAAAGCTTAGGCTTCCGCTGTTGTGTACTTAATCGGTTGATTATCAGCTGGTTGAGTAGCTAATATCATTTTTAGGTAAACTTTCAAAGTTACGTAACGTAATCATCTTATCTGCACTTCGCAACTTCGTTCCGAACCTCAAAATTCTTACGCGTACGTTTTCCTGCCATTTCAATGCCAATTTTTTAGTAATATTTTGTATTTTCTCACTTGTTTTGGTGCAGTCACTATTATTATATATGTCGGAGAATTGAAGTCTTCTCCACGCCGGCCCTCATCAGTCGCCTGATCTCTAGCTTGCTGCTCCTCCATTTCAAGTCCTGGATGGTGTTGCGAGTCTTCGTTGCCTTTGTTGCTCATAGCCGCCACTTACTCAACAGTCCTCAGCACCACGCTAAAACAGAACGTCACGCTAAAGCTCGGAACGAATAGAAGTAACGAGTGAAAAATAGAGAGACCAGATCCAGCAACACAACGAAGCCACACACGGCCTCAGTTCGCAAACTGAGTCCCCCCCATCATACCAGAACTGGAATATCCTACCACGACCTATGGTCACACCATAGTCTCGGTCTAACGAGAGACTGACTTTTCTCCTCTCCGACATATATATCTGTCGTACAATATAATGTTTTAAATGTATGTCTCCACAGCAAAAAATTTGTTGAAAGCATCATTTTCCACGAGCCATAATGAAAATAGCTCGGGCTTGGACACTGACACTGTAATAGCGCAAACATCACAGCGCAAAACATTGAAAAAAATTATTTTCATAAAAAAACATAAAAATATAAAACCCAGTCGAACCTCAAAAGTTCTGGTTTACGAAAGTTTAATTTGTTAGTAAACATTATTTTACATCTCTTATGTGCACCTCAGCTCATAAAATCACAAAGATAGGTCACAACGAACACAATCACAGGTGACAAACGTTTATTATGTAGTTAAGAGCGGTGAAATGAAACACAAATGTTTTGTTTGAATCTTTACAGCTGTGCGAATATTGAGAGAATACCGAAATGGAAAGTTTTTTTTGGCTTATCGGATATATTAGTTTTTGATTTCAAAACATTTTTGGCGAAAATAATTAAATTCAAATATAAATTAATCGCTGATAAATCAGTCATTTCTACCAACGTGCAGTAGCGCCATTTACTAAAATTTATGCTACACATCCAATTTTTTTCAAATTTCCAAAGTTTAAAAAATAAATTTTTGGCCACAAAAAATGAGTCGTCTGAACCATAATGGGACGGGGTGTCTCCCGCACAAAATTAAAATGAGGGTAAAAACTAAATTTTTTCCGTTTATAATTACCTTTGTGTAATAGTAGGTTGTAAATTAATAGTTGTCAATATCAATGGAATAAACTCGGCCACTTCTTGATGAACAGCATTTTTATATATTTGATACATAAGTACAACAATAATTGGTAGTTCTTGTAAAACTTTTAAGGACAAAACTCCTCGTGGAAGTAAATTATACTAAAAAGACACAGAATAAAATTGTATGTTTTAAATAAGTGTAAAAGGGTACGAAAGTTCTGAAGTATTTATTTATTTTAGTCTTTCGGTTTTAAAGCTAGCGCTTTATCAATTTGCATTCTTTTGCACGCAGAAGTCAGAACAGCTAAAATTGGTCGGCTATTCCTCCCTATAGCTTCTTAATAACTGAAGAATCCGAACTTTGGTGATATGATTATATTCATTTTGTTTATTTTTTACGATTAATTTTTCTTTGGGTCGAAGAGTTTGTGACATGACTCCTATAATGCCTAGCTTAGGGCTACCGAACAAGTCCCAAAGTTTCAAGTAGATAGCTTTAAAACTGAGGGAATAGCTCGCGTAGAAACAGAAAGACAGACAGACACACGGACAGACAGACGGACATGATCAAGAATATATATACTTCATAGGGTCGGAGATGTCTTCTTCACTGCGTTCCAAACTTTTGAACAAAATTTTAATACCCACTGCAAGAGTATAAAAACTATACTTACAATTTGTTGAGAATTAGAATCCAAAGGCTTTTCGACATGAATAGTTTTTACTGAATAAGCTTCAGATAAAAGCGTTTCCAAATTTAAATCTTTCAGGTCATTTATCCAAATTTCGCAGGAGGTTTCAAAAATAGATGATAGATGATTTGGCAAATTTGTGTAAATTTCTTTAACAAATCGCAAAAATATTTGAATCTGGAAAAAATAAAATATTGTTAAAAGTTACTTATGATGCATATTGATAATCTATATATGTTTGATCATTGAGAGTTTTCGATGCCAGTAAAGGGGCCCATCCACAGGCGAGCATGTTGGGCGAACATGTTGTGCTCGACGAAATTTTTCATGTGGATGGTAGTGTTCGTTGTCAAATTTTGTGTTCGTCAAAATGTTCGAATGAAATTGAAATCGTTCTATTTTGACAACGTTGGCAACAGCATGCTCGCCAATGGATGGCAATGTTGGCACGAACGTCAGTTAAAAAAACGTTTTGGTAGAGAACAATGAATAAAAAGTTTATGCTAGATTTTATTTATTGCCTAAAAAATGAGCCTGCGTTATGGCACGCCAAAAGCGATGAATATAAAAACAAGCATTTGCGTAATAATGCAATACTTCTTGAATAAGAAGTTCAACTCAAAAAATATAAAGAGTTCGATGAGCACTGTGCTTCCTTTTTTTCGCTTCATCCTTTTTTTTCTTTTTTTCTAAGCAAATACTTATTGCCATAAGTGCAATTACAGTGCCGCTGTCGTTGTCCGTTGACATGTTGATAGTTGGAAAATTTATCGAAAAATGATGTTCGCACGAATGTTGGCTCTAGTTAGTGGGGAAAATGAAATTCAAGCATGTTCGTCAACAAGCTCGGCTGTGGATGGGCCCCTTAAAAATAAAGACGAATTTAATTCTTGTACGTTATATTTTATTTATACTGCAGGCAGATGAAACTGGGATCAACCATTGTGATCATCCAGTTTAAAGTGCTAAGCAGTGACTAATAATATGAACAGCGAGTGCGGCCCGACTAGACATACGCTAAAGCTCTCGATAGCGGAGAGGGCGGCCCGACATAGTGATTGCGAAGCTAAAGCTCTCTTCAAATAGGCCCGTTGAAGTTGAGCGGCCGAGTAAGAGTCGGCTTGCGACCCACTAAGATGATATATCCATACTTTAGCTTAAACCATAATTAATCTAACGCCTGCTGCCTGACCCGACAACATAGTCTCTCAGTCTCAGCAAACTAGTCTCTCAGTTTTAAAGCTATCGACATGAAACTTTGCACATACCCTTCTTTCCTTTGCACGCAGTGTATAAGTCGGAACGGCCCGAATCGGTCGACTTTATCTTATAGCTGCCATGTAACTGATTGATCGGAAATGGCATAACTTCGGTGTTTTTAGAGTAAGAATTTTGTATGAATGCTATTTTTGGCAAAATAATATGACATGAAGAATTTCATAAGGATCGGTCTACTATATCTTATAGCTGCCATATAACTGAACAATCGGCAATGACCCAACTTTCGTGTTTTTGAAGATAGAAAGCTGAAACTTAATAAACTTCTATTTTTGGCCAGTTGATCCAACCTACCCAATTTCATTAGGATCGGCCGACTATATCCTATAGCTGCCATATAACTGAACAATCGGAAATAGTACTTGGTAGAAATATCAACTTTCGTATTTTTGAAGATAGAAGTTTGGGATTTTTTTTAGATTTTTTATTTTAGTTAATTAGTTTTATTATGATGTAATCATAATGATCGGCCAACTATATCCGATGTTTGCGATATATATCCGGTTTTAACTGCAAGGGTATATATACTTCGGCACCGCCCGAAGTTAGCTTTCCTTTCTTGTTTTGAATAAATTTGATGTAACTTTAATCTTTTCTTTGATAACAATTTTTAGTGGACTGTGGATAGTGGTGGATATATTTAGTGAGATAAATATATACCTCATATATTTAGTGGATATATGAGACGTATATCTTTTTTTGTTCTTGTATTTTGTTAATACAAAATCGTTTGTCCTTGGGATTTGTTGATAGTCATTGCAAATGCCAATCTAATCGGAAACTGAATACGTTTGAATTAAATTGGCGCATCTGTATATTTTCACCTCTGAACTTTTCATTTAAAATGCTGTTTTCGATCTCGTTTTTCATTAATTATTGAATGACTAATCGCGTACTATTGCACAGTTGGGGCGGGTTCAAGTTACGATGTATGATAATTGGAGATCCAACCTTTAATTGTACATAATGCGTTGGAATGTCTTGCAAATCCAGTGAGTTCAAAAACTCTATGGGAACATGTACTGCTTCGCTGTCGTCGCTTTTCCTGACGCGCAACACATCCCAGATGGCTCATTTTTTAATTTCAGAGTATGACAATGCGAACATTCCTTGTCCATAGCACCAATTACCACTTTTGAGTGAGCATAATACTCAATATCAGGCTCATACTGGAATACTAGACGCAGGAATGGATCAGATATAAATGCTCAATGTACCTATTGTCGTTGTTGGTTACTTGTTCTGCGTCTATTGAACATCTATCTGCGTCTATCTAATCATCTGAGTTTATTGCGTTCAGCTCGTGTATCTTCTGGCTCTTCTTGGTGGAACTGCGCTATTCTAACACATACATCAGTATTTTGTTGCTGGATTTGTTCTTCGGTTCTGTCGGATCTTCTATTTCCCATGTTTCGAGATCTAATTGTGTCACGGCTCAAATCGGGGGTGACTTGCGTTGTTTTGGCATTGCTCACTGTACAAAACACCCAATGTTTTAATTAATGATGAAGGATTTTTGCCCCAGTTTTATTTGAGTAAAAATTCTATGGTAGCGTGATTTTGTCAGTGTGATGAGGTAGTAACTCCATATGCGATTTTTGGTATGTCGAACGGGATTTAAATGGATGAAAATATATGTTGGTAGATTTTCAGACCTACCCAATACGCTCTTAATATCATGAGAATCGGTATAGCCGTTTCGGAGAGGATAAAAATAGATGTTGGTAGATTTTCAGACCTACCCAATACGCTTACAAAATATCATGAGAATCGGTACACGAGACACGAGAATTTTATATACATATATAGATTAAGCTGGCTACAATTTAAAACAGGGGTCGGCACGGCCCTATCTCGGGGGCATAGGAAATTTCTCTGCCCGAGCTCTGCCACACACACACAGTATAAATGTGTGAAACGTCATTCTCAAAGCCTACTTTCTGCTATTCGTTACTAACACTAATGCGGTAAAATCATATCAATGTATTGGGGTGCCGACCACTGATTTAACCACATTTATGCCAACCATTATTGGCAGTTGGGTTTTCTTATACGTAAAAATTTATGAAAAAGATTTACATACCTCTGGATTAAATGATGGGCGAAAGTGTTTGTGAAGTTCAATAATGATGCGAAGACTCACTAAAACATTTTCTTCATTATCAGTTTTTAATAATTTAAGCATCATAGTTATAATTGATTTGACATGTTGCCGTAAGCTCTCTGTTATTGGCAATCTATGAATCATCTCTAAAATTAGCTTGCGAATCTGAAATACAAAAATGAATAATATTGGTAAATATTGGTAAATATATAGATCACGAATATTTTAAAATATATTCATATATAATAGTATGTCAAAAAAGTCTTGCGGTTTTTCCGCTAGGTCTCTTTGCAAAGCGCAGTTTTAGTTTTATTCGTCGAATCGGCTCACGCCATAGCTTTTTGGAAAGCTCTTTTCATGCGCTAATACGTGTTTGATTTATTATTTTTTAGTCAGAGTCGTTCGTGCAAACATGGAGCAAAATAAAGAGCAAATACGGCATATTTTACAGTACTTGTGATGTCGTAAAGATAATTGGCAACGCCCGACCAATCGACAGCTGTCGCTGACCCTGTGATGACCCTGTGGCTTACCAAAAGATTGGCCACTCAGAGGAAAAGAGAGCTGAGCGGGTCGAGTCGAAAGCTGAGCAGGAATGCGTAAAAGTTTTTTAGTTGTTCTTTATAAATTACTTTTTGATAAATTTGCTCTTTCTAAATTTGCTTTTCATAGATTTACACAAATTTTCATTGTTTTACTTAGTATTAAATTCATCATTATTTACTACATCTATTTACTACATATCATCTTGTAAATTCACTGCAATATACCTGAAGTATAACTGTAACTGCTGACTATAACTACTCAAACAAGAAAGGAAAGCTAACTTCGGGCGGAGCCGAAGTTGATATACCCTTGCAGTCAAAAACAATTAACTAAAATAAAAAATCTAAAAAAATTTCCCAAGCTTCTATCTTCAAAAATACGAATTGATATTTCTACCAAATACCATTTCCGATCGTTCAGGTATATGGCTGCTATAGGATATAGTCGGCCGATCCTAATGAAATTTGGTAGGTTGGATCAACTGACCAAAAATAGAATTTGTATCAAGTTCCAGCTTTCTATCTTCAAAAACACGAAAGTTGGGTCATTTCCGATCAATCAGTTATATGACAGCTAGGATATAGTCGGCCGATCCGGGCCGTTCCGACTTATATACTGCGTGCAAAGGAAAGAAGGGTGTGTGCAAAGTTTCAAGACGATAGCTTCAAAACTGAGAGACTAGTTCGCGTAGAAACAGACAGACAGACGGACAGACAGACGGACAGACGGACATGCTCATATCAACTCAGGAGGTGATCCTGATCAAGAATATATATACTTTATAGGGTCGGAGATGTCTCCTTCACTGCGTTGCACACTTTTGGACAAAATTATAATACCCTCTGCAAGGGTATAAAAACTTAGCAGCCGTAGCATCGGCCAAGAGCTGGGCATGAGTCATCAAACCGTTATAAACCATTTCAAACAGCTTGCATTCAAAAAGAAGCTCTATGAGGAATTTGACCAGTTTTTTTGACCAAAACCCCTGTTCTGAAAGTCGAAAAATTAAAATAAGTTTCAGTGCAACGCATTTACAATTCACCAATCTTTAGTGTTGCATAACAGAAATTTTGATAGAAGATAGATTCCACAACAATGGAATCAGCTGACAAACACAGCTGTTGCATTTGCAAAGCAGGCGACTGCAATATTAAGTTTTGTTTACACAGTTTTAGCGAGAACTAAAAAAAAAGTATAAAAAAATAACAAAACAGTATTACAACATTTTTTGAAATGAATTCCAATTTGTTTGGATTCTATTCTATGTTTGTGATCGTCATTTGTAGAATAGAATCGTGTAGAAAAATTACGCTTCCCTATCTATATTTTCTATGGTTTAGGCTGTCAAATGAGTCAAAATGAGAGCAAATGAGAGAGCTTCTAAAAAAAATTTGAAAGTGCTCACACTGTGCCAGAAGCGCTGAGGAAGAATTTCCTACTCTATGCACGCGTGCTATGGAAAATGAGAGTTTTCCCCCACTGCAATAGACCGAAAAAATAAAATAATTTAGAGATCTTTAGCTTCGAAGTTTTTTAAAGTAAGTACACCACTTTTAGACGTGGTCAACATCTGCGAAGGGGGGGTGGAGTCCTAATTTCGGTTAACTCCCAACTTGCTTCTGAAGAGGTAAAATCACAAGAGGTTATTTAGAAATTATTTGCATTTAAATCATCCTGTTCTGTAAATCTTTATCCTGTTCATATATACCCCCTTTGCTAAGCCGCCCACATACTGGCATCATTTGTCCGCTATTTAATCCATTTTTAATTTTATGACCGATCGTGACCATCTTGTAGCTCTGGGTGACTTTAATATCCCAAAATTAAAGTGGTTTAAGGGGTTATATACAGTTGTGATATATGAAAAAATCAATTTTTTTTTTTATTGCATATTATTAAGTATATTCTATTGGAAATACTTGCACAAAAATTCATAACGATCGGAGCATTAGAACCGAAGCTGTAGCTATTTATAGCGCACTATCTGCATATAAAACTTGAACAAACTTGAAATTTTAAACGCGATTATCTCAGAAACTTTTTTTTGGGAAATTACCTTTGCGGTGGACACGATTACTAAAAAACTAATAATCCACTTATTACCACTTATTTATTATGATATTAGCTAGTCCGTGAACGAGGAATTTTCAATTTTTTTGAAAACTCCTTTTTTAAAGCATAAAAATTGAAAATCTTATACCTTGAAAGAGTACATTTTTTGTTAAAAACGTCGCCATTTTTTTGTTAATCAAAATTTTTAAAAATCTCTGGTTTACGGACTAGACAATACAATATACTAACTAAACTTTTTTTAATTTTGGATTTCGGATGAACCGTTTTCGAGAAATCATGTCCACCGCAAGACACCATCGGAAAAAGACGATCCGGGAATTCGGCTATAACATTTTTGTTATGTAATATTTTTTTATGAAAAAATTTAATTAAGTACCCAGAAAAATGTACTAAACAACGTCGGTAAAACATTTTTCATAAATATTTTCTATGGTGTAAAAAAAAAATCTATAAAAATCTAATTTTTGCTCGGTACAACTGTATATAACCCCTTAATGTCGATATCTCACCATCACCATCTTTATCACTTATCACGCACCATGACTTCACCGCGGACATGTTTGACATGTTCCTAGGTAAAATTAACCATGTTAGAAATTCATTAGGTTGGCTTTTAGGCTTATGATATTTATCTGATCCTGATGTTCGCACTCTTTCCAGAGCTTTGACCCTCTTAAATCCAGAGGATCCATATTACCTCACGCTTGAGGTTTTACTGGAAATCATTTCTGGGTGCAAATAAGATCTGCTGTTTCTGTAAAGCTGATTTTCACAAACTTAATAGCCTTATCGATAAGTTTGATTGGTCCGATATTCTGGCCATGATACAATGTTTACATTACAATGTTCACATTAATGTTTACAAAGGCTATAATATGGGATGCAAAGGAAGAACTATCAGAATATAGTTTAGGGAGTTTGCTACGGAGCCCCCTAGTGTTCTGATAGGTAAGTGTTAGTGACGATACTAGTTTTTTGGGTTAGTGGACAAGCAAGAGGTGGAAGGTTGGTCAGTGGTTCCGATATGGGGAAGTTTCACTCCCACTGGTTTTATAACTTTTTTCTTTACGGAACTAGGCTGATGTTCTTGGACGAAATGATTCTCTGGCCAAAAACTGGAAGAACAAATCGTCTTGAACATCAGCGCGGGCACACGAATCTTGAAAGAAGACGTGCGCCATGTATAATTATATTAAAATTTAGTTATGTCCTCCATCTTTAAATCGGCTTTTGTTTTGGCTTTGATATAAGCCGAGATATAAATCTCTGAAGTATCAGGGGCAAGCCGAGAAACAAATATATGTTTCGATGGAGAAATCACCTGTAAGGATTTTGGTGTCGCAGGTACGAGAACTGCAGCATCAGTCGGTGCCGGAGGTCCGGACTTTGGAATACCCTTTTGGGTGACTCTGGTATCACTTGAAGGGATACCACAGAGGACATTTGCTCAGACAATTGCTTATTTTCCTTGAGAAATTCGGATGGCGAATTGTTCTCAGTTCTAGCCCTTGGGGTGGCCAAAGATATGAGCGGCTGCGGTATTGACGGCTAAGTAGACTGAGGCGGATCACAAACAGCGGATTTCTTACGCTTAGGAGACTCCGTTAGTAGCTGAAGGCTGATAAACTAAGTGTCAAGCGCACAGAGTTGGTCATTGACTTTACGAAAACCAGTGATCAACTCTTTAAATCCATTTTTGGTCTGTCTCATGAACGACCTCTTTTCGCCTTGGACAGCACGACAATTTTCACAACAATAGTGTATGCCCGACCTACGGGAAATGGCATCCGAAACTGAGGCAGTAAATCCGGCACTTGGCGTGTACGACGTTTTCACATAGCCAGCAATGGATGGTAGGCTGGGATGAGGAAATTGTCTTGTTACAAGACTTCATAGCGCAGACAAGTTTAAATTCCATATTTTTTTATAAATAAAACAAAATTAATATATAAAAAGTAAAAAAACACTATACCTTGAACCACTGAGCCAAATAAGCTTTATATTCTTAATATTCTCAATATATTCAATTCACAAGTAAACACCGGTTTACCAATACTTATCATAAACGCAGTGCGCAAAAAAAAAACACGACCGTTTGCTTAAGGAAAAAAGAGGGAAGTGACTCGTAATATTTTAATTCGTAAATATTTTATTCGTTTAGTGCAGAGGTCGGCACGGCCCTATCTCGGGGGCATAGGAAATTTCTCTGCCCGAGCTCTGCCACACACACACAGTATAAATGTGTGAAACGTCATGCTCACAGCCTACTTTCTAACACTAATGCGGTAAAATCATATCAATGTATTGGGGTGCCGACCACTGGTTTAGTGTTTTCTATCAGATGATTACTGTGAAAGTTTCATGCGGTTTTATCAACACTGGTAATTTTGGCGGGACATTTAGCGCATTGAATAAAATCGAATATCGTCATAAGATTTCCGTTTTTAAAAGAGAAATCCAACGACGATATTAAAAAGCATTTTTGACGATGATCTCCCGGGTCGTCCCAGAGAGCTGACAACACCAGAAAATGTGGATAAAGTCCA